TTCGGATGTTCTCTCAACAACGAATTGAATCTGGTAATGGCGTGCGATGTCTCAATCCATTCTCTCTTAGCCACCACAATCGGTTCATCGTTCGAATTACTATCCTCTCCATCGTCCGCTGCTTTCGTTGTGGTGGCTCCCAGTGGTCCGGGTAGATCTTTCGGCGTGATAAATCTCCCTTTTTTAGCCAATGGACCTCCTCCGCCTCTCTTGTCAAATCCTCGTTTGAATTTCGACTCGTTCGCTGCCGCTGCCGCCTCCTTCTCCTTCTCGAGCTCTTTCGGGTCCTGAAGCTAGTTTCGGCGATTTTAAGCTATTCCAAGCCAATTTCTTGGCTTAGAATAGCTTAAAATCGGTATAAAATGACCTAAAAAGCCAAAAATTGAGAAAAAAGGTACTATGGTGACTATGGTACTATGGTAACTATGGCAACTATGGTACTATGGTAGCTGTGGTAACTATGGTAAATATGGTAGCTATGGTACTCGTGGTAATTATGGTGACTATGGTGACTATGGTGACTATGGTAACTATGGTAACTATGGTACCTATGGTAACTATGGCAACTATGGTACCTATGGTGACAATGGTAACTATGGTAACTATGGTACTATGGTAGCTTTGGTAACTATGGTAGCTATGGTACTATGGTAGCTTTGGTAACTATGGTAAATATGGTAGCTATGGTACTCGTGGTAATTATGGTGACTATGGTAACTATGGTAACTATGGTACCTATGATGACTATGGTAACTATGGTAACTATGGTATCTATGGTGACTATGGTAACTATGGTGACTATGGCAACTATGGTACCTATGGTACCTATGGTGATTATGGTAACTATGGTAACTATGATGACTATGGTAACTATGGTAACTAGGGCAGTTTTCGACGATTTTTAAGCTCAAAAGGTCCATACCTTCTCCCTCTCCTCTTCACATATATCCTCGGACAACTGTGCACTCGGATCCAGTGCCATCTCAACGATTCGATCCACAATCTGCTCACATCTCCGAATACACGAATCCCGCGATTCGATATTGCTCAGCACTCGCAATGACGACACCATGCCCACTTTGTACTGTAGATAGAGCAGCGAGTCCGAGAGAAGTTCCAGAAGACGTTGAGCGGTTCGACGGCGGATTGGCGACGCGTTCGCACAGCACGTCTGGAGGAGAGCTCGTGCGAAGAGGTAGCCGATTCGAGTGCCTCCTTGGGTTTCGAGCGCACTGATTAGAGAGACGATTTGCGTGTCGTAGTCATCCGTGTCGGTGGCCTAAAAATTTAGGAATTTTGAGGGATTCTAGGCCAGCATTTTTTTTCGTAAAATTTATAGCCGCCAACTTTGAGCCAGGAAACAGGGTCTCGGCTTTTCGGGACCGGTATTTCTTAGTGTTTTCTAGGACATTTCAACCTGCTGGCCTAACTTTTTCAGGTAAAGTTTTCTAGACTATCATGTTAAAAGGACCTAGAAATGGTTTGATATTCGCCTGGTTGGTTTTCTAGGCTATTGTAACATGCTGGCCTAACTTTCGCAAGTTGGGTTTTCTAGGCCAACGAATTTTATGACCTGGAAATGACCTGATGGGTTTTCTAGGCCATTTTAACATGCTTACCTAGAAAACTCAACATATGAAAGTTAGGCCACCATGTTCAAATCACCTAGAAAATGCACCAGGTAAAAATCACGGCATATCTAGATAAAAACGTTGGTGGCCTAGAAAAAGCGTGTTGAGAAAGTTAGGCCACCATGTTGAAATGGCCTAGAAGACCAACCAGTCGAATAACAGATCATTTCTTGGCCATATTAGCGTGGTGGCCTAACTTTTGCGAAATGAGTTTTCTAGGCCATCAACGTTTATGGCATAGTAATGACCTGATATTTTCCTGGTGTGTTTTCTAGGCCATTTTACATGGTAACCGAACTTTCGCAAGTCGAGTTTTCTAGGCCGCCATGTTGAAATGGCATAGAAATTACCTGACATTTACCTGATGTGTTTTCTAGGCCGTTTACTATGGTGGCCTANAAAACCCACTTTGCGAAAGTTAGGCCACGATGTTAAATGATCCCAGAAGTGGCTAGTTCGCGGCCAAAACAAAAAAAAACTCACGACATCACAAAAATAGAAGACGCAAACGTTGATTGCGTTGGTGTTCAACACCAGACCCTCTTCTCCTTTTCTGATCATAAAAAGTTCGTTAAACGAAGCGACAGGATACTTTTCACAGTATGCCGAGAGCAGTCGAAACACGAAAGCTGCACAAATGCCCGGCGAATACTTCTCCAGGACCACCGAACACACGATGGCTCTCAACTGAGGACTCCATCGATTCGAGAGACACTTCTCGACGGTCGTTCGGAATTCTCGCCAGCGTAGACCTTCAGAAGACTTCTGATGAAGACGTAGACGTCTTCCGAATCCACCACTTCTCCTTTGTCCTTCACAAACGTCGTCATGAACTCGCCGATGAGTCGTTTTTCGTCTTTTTGATCCGACGAAACTTTCTTAAGGGCTCCAGCGAATTCCGAGAATGTCGAGGCTGCGATTTTGTGATTTTTCGGGGTGGTTTGACTGGATTTTTGACTATTCGCAGCGTGTTTTTGGAGGATTCCAATGACTGACGGTGGTGGAGTGACACTTTTCAGAATCTTCGCTGAGAAGGTTTCCAGACGCTTTCGAACGAAATCAAACTGCAAAAATTGATATAAGCCCACCAAAACCCTAAACTTTGAGCTCAAATATCTCGGTTCGTTTGAAAGATATCAGAAATCTGCCAACTGATAAAATATCAATGATATTATGATAAATATTTTATCAGTTTACAGATTTTTGACATCTTTCACAAAAACCAAGATAATTGAGCTCAAAGTTTACGGTTTCGGTGGACTTCTATTAGAGCAAATACGGTAATTTTCTTAGAAAACAAGAAAATTAGAAAACCTGTATTAGAAGGGCCCCTGTAATAGAAGGGTCGGCCCTTCTAATACAGGCTTTACGGTAGCTCACCTTATTAGCGGCGGAATCAATGATAACTGATAGTGTCTGAAATGCGGATTCGTGAGAGAGGAAGAATTTCAAATTGGCTTCAATGTGGGATAGACACGAGAGCGAGCACTTCTCATCGTTCATTGCCGATTGGATGAACGCCGATGGAACGCGGAATATCGGGGCGCTTTTGGATTTTGCTGGATTTGTCTGCAAAAATATGGGAGTTTTATGATAAAAAGAGTCAATTTTAGACATCTAGGAACTCAAAAATTCCAGGCAAGTCGGAATTTTGAATTTGGTTTTTTTTTGAGATTCTTGGAATTTGAAGAATTTCAAAAGTTCGGAGAATTTCAGAACATGTTTCAGAGCAAGTTTTGGAATTTTGTAAAAGAACAGGAATTCCTGAAATTCAAAAAATTTAGTTCTGAGCTTGTAAGTTACAAAACTCTTGAATTCTCAACTTCAGGAAAATCTGAATACTGAATTTTCTGAATTCTAAAATTCTGAATTCCAAATCCCAGTCTCTGTCTTTCAGACCAAAATTTTCCACATTTCTAGCTTGAAAATGAGCTAACTTTTAGGCTCCGGGACGTTTCGGAACCACGACGTTTCAGAACTCGAAATTTCAGAACCCGACGTTTCAGAACCACGACGTTTCAGAACTCGAAATTTCAGAACCCGACAGTTCAGAACCCGACGTTTGGGAACCATGAAGTTTCAGAACTCGACATTTCAGAACCTGACGTTTCGGAACCACGAAGTTTCAGAACCCGTCAGTTCAGAACCACGACATTTCGGAACCATTTTTTATTCCGGCGAATATGAGTCTCATTTTCGCGTACTTCTAGACATCGTTTTCGAAAATTTCAATTTTTTTCGATTTTTGAGAGATTCCGAGTGTGAACGTATCACTATTTGGAGTACGGTAGATGTGAACAAATTAAAAAACACAAAATTGAAATGAGCAATGCTCATTTTGTGTGCAAAAACCACTATACAAGAATGCAGAAAAGTTCTGAAACGTCGTGGTTCTGAAACGTCCCGGAACCAAAAACCACCGCTTACCAAAGCCGCACAATGCGTCTTCAACCAATTCGAAATATCATTCGCTTCCATTTTTTCCATAGTTCCACTTGTGAAAACCAACGATTTCTCAGCTGTACAAAGCATTGCTAGGCGCAAAAAACCCTCGGGTTTCGTCTCGTTTTCAGGCATTTGAATTTCCATTGGTTCCTCTTTTAGAACTATCGAATCCAGCCGATCCATCTCCTCTTTTATTCGATTTAGAAGCAATTCGCCTGATTTCACTCCAGTCATACGGTAGCCACGTAGCAGTAGATACATATTTGACAGCGTTTGACGGTCTAGCGATTGGATTTTCATCTGGAAAAATGTTAGAATTTCTATGGAAAATCTGGAAATTTTCAGATAAAAATTAGACATTTTTTGGCGAAATTTGACTATTTCTAGTGGAAATTTTCAGACGAAAAATATGGCATTTTTTAGAATTTTTTTTCAAAATTTCTGATTTTTTAAATGGAAAAATCATCCGAATATGCGACCCTTTTTAGCCATAAAAATCGGAGTATTTCCAGTGGGAGGCTCAGTATCCAAGGGTACATCGGAAAAGGGTACATCGAGTTCTTAGGGTACATTGGATCAGAGGATACATCAGTTCTTAGGGTACATCTGGGAGGTAGGTTCAAGGGGTACATCTGGCGTTGGTTCTGAGGGTACATCGGAGAAAGGATCCCAGGGTACATCGACAAGTTCTTAGGGTACATCAATTAAAAATTTTGTAGTTTTCAACTGGAAGATATTTTGGTATAAACTGCACTATTTTGCTTGTTTTTTTTGTCGATTTGTTTGAAAAAGTACAGTTTCTCATAGTTTTATCGATTGACCAGCAAGCTGGTGAGCCTTCGGCGCGATTCCATCTATTTTTTTCAAATCTTCGTTTCTCACTTTTTCTAAATAAAAGGGTCACGTAAATATATATGTATTTTTCAATTTTTTCAAAAGTCTACAGACGGACACGAGGACGGACAGACGCCTCTAGCGTTTTATTAATAAGGAAGATTTGTTTATTGGAGCTTGTATCCACAGAATGCAATAGATGTACTATTACATTTTGAGCCTGCCGAAGAAAACAAATCCTTGGAATATCGCAACATGATGATACCTTCAAAAACAGCAAGAGGGCCGACCGGCGACATTAAGAGATGATTTTGAGAGCAAACTCATGTCAACAAAAAACCAGTTTTATTAAAAATTAATGAAAACTACTACTGTGTATTGCGAATTATCTGGTCCTAGTTTCGGTATGCCCCATCTTTCTGGCGCTTTTACATCGCGTTTTGGCAGTTTTCGTGGAATTGCAGTGGACTGCAATGCACATTTGGCGAGTAGTCAAAAAAAATATGAAAAAAAAACTGTACTTTTTCAAACAAGACAAAAAAAACAAATAAAATAGTGCAGTGTAAACCTAAATATCTCCCAGCTGACAACTACAAAATTTTTAATTGATGTACCCTAAGAACTTGTCGATGTACCCTGGGATCCTTTCTCCGATGTACCCTCAGAACCAACGCCAGATGTACCCCTTGAACCTACCTCCCAGATGTACCCTAAGAACTGATGTACCCTCTGATCCAATGTACCCTAAGAACTCGATGTACCCTCGATGTACCCTTTTCTGATGTACCCTTGGATACTGGGCCCCAGTGGGAATTTCGGGATTTTTACAAAAAATTGTATTCTTTTTCAAACCGAGAATTTTCGAGCCAAAAACTAAGAAATTTTTATTTTTAAAAAACAAAATCTCACATTTTCAGCTTTTCTGAAAACCTTCTCGGCAGTTTCTCTTGACATTTGTGATACTAAAACAAATTCCTGTGCATCGGTCTCAGATAAATCCTCTAGTGCCGCGTCGACGACTCGTTGCTCAGCCGATTTGAGCATTTCTTTGCGCATTGGAAGATTCAGAAATTGACGAGTTTCACCGGTTTGACGATCCACCATTTTGGGAATACGACCAGGAGATAGCCAGAACTGGAAAGACGAAAAATGAATAGGAGGGAATTTGAAAATGAAGGAAATCGGAAATCTAGGAATCTGAATTTCATGCTTGTTGTGAGCTTTTTTTTCTGAAAATCTGGGAAAAAATTAAAAAATTCTGAACTTCTGATATTCGGAAAAACCAGAAATTCAGAAAATTCTGAATTTCTAAAATTCCAAAATTCAGAAAGTCGAGAAAATCAGAAACTTTGAAATTTTGAAACTCACAAATTCACAACTTTAGAAATTCAGAGATTCGGAATTTCAGAAATTCAGAAATTCACGAATTTGGAAATTCTGAAAATATTACATTCGAAAATTCAGAAATTCGGCTCCGCGACGTTTCGAAAGTGTGACGTTTCGCAAGTACGGCAACTAATGCTTTGAAATCTTCAAATATACAAAGCTCTGTTCGAAAAACCATTTAAATACTCAAATACAAGTTTTTGCTTTTTCTTTCATGCATAAAGTGCAAAGCTGTTACTTTCGAAACGTCGCGGAGCCGGAAATTCTGAAGATCTGAAATTCAGGAATTCAGAATAGGAATTCGAATGTCTTGGAATCTAGAATAAAAATAAAACCTTCAGAACCTCGAAAACTGAGTTTTGGATATTCTGATTTTTTGAAATTTCAAAATTCTCCAGATTTTAAAATTTTTTCATATATCCAAAACTACGAAAATTAGGGTTGGCTTGGGGGGGAAAAGGGGCTATCCCCGCCCCGGGAGGAGTATACTTTGCGTAATTGCGCGTAACTGAATGGACCAATTGACTTGAAAATTTCAGGGTAGCCTTATTGGGTACCCTGAATCGTAAAATAATCTGAAAAATTCGGTTACTGATTCTTTAAACAAAGTTGTTTTTCGACAGGCTTTCG